ATATCTTTTTAAATAATTCAGATCCGCCTGCAATTTTCAGACCATAATAAACATATTCTATCCTATTATTTTTACTGTTTGCAATATGCATAGATCCTGTTTTTAATCCTAAGAATTCAGGAGAGCATGTCAGATTTTTTTTAACCTCAAAAAAAAAAAAACCCTAGTAAAATTGGTTTACAGAAAGATAATTAGAATATAGGCAGTCCTCGATTTACAACTGTTCGTTTAGTGACCGTTCAAAGCTACAACTGCACTGAAAACGGTGACGTGTGGCCGTTTTTCTCGCTTATGACCATTGCAGCATCCCCAGGGTCACGTGATCAAAATTCGGAGGCTTGGCAACTGGCATGTACCTGTGACGGTTGCAGTGGTGTCCCGGGGTCATGTGATCCCCTTTTGCGGACCTTCTGACAAGCAAATTCAATGGGGAAGCCAGATTCACTTAACAACTGTGTTACTGACTTAACAACTTCACTTAACAACTGTAGCAAGAATGGTCGTAAAGTGGGCCAAAATTCACTTTAACAAAAACCTCACTTAGCAACAGAAATTTTGGGCTCATCGGTCGAGGACTACCTGCGCGGGTTTGGTTGCTGTACCAAACCAGACAGTTTGTGAAGGGAACGTTATTAAGTTCACAGAATGTGCCAAAAGAAGGAATTTTAGGAAAGGTCTTATGTAAAATAGGTCAATAGGAACACCAGGGAGTGAAGGATACGTGACTGGTCTCTTCTTCAGTGGATGACTTCAGGTATTAGGGGGGCCTGGAGAGACCTCCCTTCTAAGCTCCTTTAATTAATTTGGATTCCTGAAATCAGCAGAAAATTGGGCTGAATGGCTCCACAACCCTCTTCCAGCTAGGAGCCTATGAAAGCTTGCTGTGATGTCCTGATCGATACCATGTGTGATGACAAGGCTTGGCTTTCTACCTCTTGCCGAGCAATGAATTATTCATCCCATTTCAGCCTCGCCTGTGATTTATAAAGATCTTCTCTGTTGGCTTCATAGACATTCAAACATGCTGCTTTAAGGGTGCGATAGAAGTTCCCGTCTTTCATTTACACATCTGAACGCTCCACAGATTATTCGTGTTGAAAGATGGGATTGTGGGGCGGGAAGAGGAGGAGGAGGAGCAGGAGAAGAAAGGTGGAGGTAGAAAAGGAGGAGGAGGAAGGTGGAAGTGGAAAAGGAGGAGGAGGAAGGTGACGCTGAAGCTGAAGAAGGAGAGAGAGAAGGAAAAAGAGAAGGAAGGTGGAGATGGAGGAGAAGGAAGATGGAGGAGAAGGAGAAAGAAGGAAGGTGGAGGTGGAAAAGGAGGAGGAAGAAGGTGGCGCTGAAGCTGAAGGAGAGAGAAGGAGAAGGAAGGTGGAGATGGAGGAGGAGGAGAAAAAGAAAGAGAAGGAAGGTGAAGATGGAGAAGGAGAAGGAAGATGGAGATGGAGGAGAAGGAGAAGGAGAAGGAAGGTGGAGCTGAAGAAGGAGAAGAAAAAGGAGAAGAAGGAGAAAGAGAATGAAGGTGGAGATGGAGAAGGAGAAGGAGAAGAAGAAAGAGAAGGAAGGTGGAGATGGAGGAGGAGGAGAAGAAGAAAGAGAAGGAAGGTGGAGATGGAGATGGAGGAGAAGGAGAAGGAGAAGGAAGATGGAGATGGAGGAGAAGGAGAAGGAGAAGGAGAAGGAAGGTGGAGGTGAAGATGAAGGAGAAGGAGAAGGAAGGTGGAGCTGAAGGAGAAAAAAAGGAGAAGGAGAAAGAGAATGAAGGTGGAGATGGAGGAGAAGGAAAAGGAAGGTGGAGGTGGAGGAGGGTTTTAATGGAGATTCTGTTGAAAGAAATAAAGAACCCTATAACAATCTTTCTCATTGATTAGAATTTTATATATGGGAATGAATTGTATGTTGGTTAATTTTAATGGTTTTCTCAAAGTATCTTGAGAAGTGGAGTTGAAATTCCTCCATAAGGAATTTCCCACCTTTAAAGAATTATGGCTCACAGAGGTGTTTATGGAAAACGGATTACAAAACCTGTCCAAGTGTCCTTCTGGAGAAATGTGTGAAAAATTAGGAATTCTAGGAGTTGTAGTTCCAGGCCATGAGGAAAACTCAAAAACTACAGGTAGTCCTCGACTTACAACAGTTCGTTTAGTGACTGTTCGTAGTTACAACAGCACTGAAAAAAGTGACTTCTGACCATTTGCCACACTTACGACCGCTGCAGCATCCTCATGTTCGTGGGATCTAAATTCAGACACTTGGCAACTGGTTCATAGTTATGACGGTTGTTTGTGTACCGGGGTCACGTGATCCCCTTTTGCGACCTTCTGACAAGCAAAGTCAACGGGGGAAGCCAGATTCACTTAACAACCGTGTTGCTAACTTACCAACTGCAGTGATTCACTTAACAACCGTGGCAAGTAAGGTCATAAAGTGGGGCAAAACTCACAACAATTGTTTCACTTAGCAACAGAAATCTTGGGTTCAGTTGTGGTCATAAGTTGAGGACTCCCTGCATTCTATGGCACTTATGGGAAAGTTATCCCCAACAAATTAGATATGGGCTGCGGAATCCTTTTTGGCTTGATTTTATATCCCCCGCCAAAAAAGTTAAAAACAAAATCCCTAAGGACTTTAGCTCTTTTAAGTTCATCACTGCAAATCAATTTAAATAGTGTCTGAAAGTTCCAAGTCAAGAAACTGGCGTTAGTCCAGAGTGAATTAATCTGAAATTAATTTGATTTTGAAAGGCTCCATCTGGTTATGTTTGGAAAAGGCAGTTAGACAGAGAAAGGAAGATATAAACAAATGATCATCTGTATTCTCCATGCCAGATGTTTTCTGGTTTTTTTCCTTCCCCCTTTTAAAAAAACGAAGAATTTTTTTTTTTTAAGTGATGGAAAAGGTGATGATGCGGGCTGTCTCTTGAAATGGCAGTAATTTGCGTTTTTACAAATGTTTTTTTTTAAAAAAAAATAAAAAATAAAATCAGAGGTTCTAATAGAGAAGAAATGGACAGAAGACTTCAAGAGACGTAGCATTACTAATCTTAAAAACTGAGAATTGGACAGCCGTAATCTAATTTCATTGACAAGAGTCACGCAAAAGAAAACGAGGGTGAAATTGACAGCGTGCTATAAAATTAGGGCATTTAAACTGAAATAGAGTGGAAGACACATTATCAACCTCAAGCATATGACCTGCAATTGCAACCAATTTTTTTCTCACATCTGCAAAGAACTGTATTATTTGTAAGCTGCAGTTTGTTAACCGCACTATGGCAGTCCGATTCATGCAACATGCTAAACCATGCCACGGCTTAACCAATCACGGAGTTCGCACAAGCGCTAACCCGCTCTAAGCAAGCCATTCCAGCTTATCACGTTGTGCGAGACCCCACTGGGCCTACACCCCACAATTGCATACAATGACATGTAAGGTTCTAATGGGAAAAGGAGAGAATTAATCTTCAGCATTTCATTTTTATTTGTTGTCTTTATATTTCGCCATTCAGAAGCATAAGGCAGCAGTGGTTAAGGGGCTGGACCAGGGGTCTTCAAACTTGGCACTTTTATGACTCGTGGACTTCAACTCCCAGAATTCCTGAGCCAGCCATGCTGAGGGGAAAGGGAGAGGTTTCCATGCTGAGCCATGCTGGCTCAGGAATTCTGGGAGTTGAAGTCCACGAGTCATAAAAGAGCCAAGGTTGCCTACCCCTGGGCCGCTGGCCTAAAAACCAGGAGATGGTGAATTGTAGGTCTGAAGCTTCTTGGATGAGAAGCAAAATGTCTTCAAGGAAAAAAAAAACAAAGAAAAGTCCAGTTGCCTTTTGAAAAAGTACCTTTGGGGCAGCCATGACCTGGATGACTGAGCATCTCCATAGACATCACGTTTGGAGACCCCTGCATTAGTGTAAGGCAGGGGTCTTCAAACTTGACCCTTTTATGACTTGTGGACTTCAGCTCCCAGAATTCCTCAGCCAGGCACACTGGCTGAGGAATTCTGGGAGTTGAAGTCCACAAGTTATAAAAGGGCCAAGTTTGAAGACCCCTGGTCTGGATCCAAGCCTGCAGTTTCATCAAAATGGCTGACTGAGGAATTCCCTTGAAGTCCACAAGTCATAAAAGGGCCAAGTTTGAAGACCCCTGGTATAAGGGCTTGAAGTTCCCACCCCTCTGGAAATTACGCCTCTGTGGCATTTGACCAAAGGAATATTAAATATTAAATATTAGGGTTTTTATTTTATTTTTTAAAAGAAATCTGCTTAACCTGGGATTTGCAACCCTGTTAATGCATTAACCTCCCCCCATATGTGCAATAGCTGCAGTTTTTTGCTTTCTGTAAGCTTGTGTTGGGTCTCCGTTGCTCTTTGTATCACATCTTTGAAAGCTCTCCATCATTCGGGTGCTACGTCCATTTTTCATTCTGGAATCATTACCAAAATGAGAGCATTGTCCCTACCTTTCACTGGAGATGGATGTGCGCACGGCACATCCATCCTTTTCCTTTTAACGCTCTCTCCCCCTTTCATCTCACACGTCGGCGGGTTGTTTTGCTTCTTTTGATTTTTTGATACTCCCCCATTTCATCCCATTTCATTTCATGGCGGGTCTATCTGGAGCCTTGAAACAGAGCCAGCAATGAAAACTAGGATACAATTCGGTGGGTCTCCTCCTCGTATTCCATACTCAGTTTCCATGTGAATATACCCATTAAAGCCGTATGAATTCCCTTCCACATACATGGCAGGTTTTTTTTTTAAAGAAAGGGCATGGGCTTATTTTCACATACAGGTTGTCCTCGACTTACAACCATTTGTATTGTATTGTGGTTGTTGTGGCTATAATTTTGTTAATTGTAGCACTTTACCTGTTAATTGTAGCACTTTATCTGGAAGGGTTAGTCAGTCCCACTGTCTTTATTCCTCCCCTTTTGTTCATTGGCCTTGAATCATATCTCCCAAAATTGCCCTTTCTCTAACCACCTTCTTTCTCTCTTGTGTTTACTAGCAACGGCACAGCTAACAAAATGAATGGCGCTCTGGATCACTCAGACCAACCAGACCCCGATGCCATTAAGATGTTTGTCGGGCAGATCCCACGCTCGTGGTCGGAAAAAGAATTGAAAGAACTTTTTGAGCCTTACGGAGCTGTTTACCAGATCAACGTACTCCGAGATCGGAGTCAGAACCCACCCCAAAGTAAAGGTAAGGGCAGGTTGACACCCTGGACCATAGAGGGGTTCTTATTGAGTCGGTGGGCTTCGTCTCCAATTCGTTGTAAGGTTTCTTAGTGCCTCTCAGGATTGGGGAAATGGTTTCTATATCCAACCATCCATCATAATTGATAAGGAAAGTCACTAATGGTTGTTATTTGGTAAAACATTACCAACTAGATAATCATCAATTCTGGAAGGGAGTGGAGATTGCTTGGATATTTTCTTGCATGTGTTTCATTGCCCAACGAGGTTACATCATCAGTGCTTCAAGGGAGTGTTTATATACAAGCATCTTGCCCTGTCAGTGTTTGTGGACACTGGAGAATTCCTGTAAGACTGCCATTAGGACAAATCCGCCATCAACAGTCCCATAGAGATAAACAACATGTACATACCTTTCGAAAGAGACCGTTAAAAAAGCTAAAAAGGAAACAACAAGAACAAAACACCTCACTAGCAATCAATACCCAGATAAGCAGAGCGCAACACCAAGATCAACAATATACCAAGAATCAAGCGGTAAACAATACCCCAATCCAGGAACTATTAAGTCAATCAAACAAGCTAACAGTAAACAACAGACTAATCAAAGGTCCACCAAGAACATTCCCAGCAACAGTGAACAGGGTAAGCCACTTGCATATAGCAGAGAGCAAACCCACTCCTTTCTAGCACTGATGATGTTACCTAGTTGGGTAATGAAATGTCCGTGAGAAAACAACAAAACTCAGAGAGCACGCAGGACCCCACATTTCAGCCCTGAGCTGCAAATATTCTATTTTTTATCTCTGGTGGCTGTCCTCCAATCCTTGTCTGGTTTCATAAATGACTTCCTTGTCTCTCAGCTAGCTTACTCGTTGCTTTCTTCTCTGCCCTCAAATTCGTCATTCTACCCCGCTGACTTCTCCAAATAGTTTAGTACACATTACACTTTCCCTTCTATAGCGTAGCAAGTTCAGCCGACGGAAACGGAGGACCTGGGCCGATGTGGTCATTTCAAAGACCCGTGGCATCCTTCTAAATAGCGTATCTGGTTTGCTCACGCATGATCAGACATGGTTACCGATTCTGGCTTGCAGACCCATGGCGATCTAAGCTTCTCAAGTTGAAATTTGCGTCGCCGTTCTATAAGTCCGCTTCTTTAACTGTGGCTTGCAACGGAGAGTCTGCGAGACACATTCGCCAGGGAGAGCATTTGAAAGGGGCCTGCAGCTGTCAAAGCTGCACCTCCCTAATTTTGCCCTCCACATGCAAACATCTTGAATTTCCTACGTGTCTCTGTTTCAGGACGTTTGTTTACTTGCTTCGGTTGTGCTCAATTTCCTCCAGCTTTGCTCAGCTACTGTCACGAGGGAGGAAAAAGATAATATCTTTCAGAATCAAACCGCTTCTAAAGGATCCCAGACAGCTTGGAAGATTGCAAATGGCAATTGTATGATCCCAGGATAGTGCAACAGTCATAAATACATGCCAGTTGTGAAGTGCCTGAATTTTAATCATGTAACCCTGTAATGGTTGTAAGTGTGAGAGTTGGCTGTAAGCAGTGGTGGGATTCAGCCAGTTCGCACCACTTCGGCAGAACCAGTAGCTAATTTTTTGTTCCCCAGGCCCAGAATGGATTTCTGGAAGCGGCATCCGCACAGAGAACCGGTTGTTCACATATTTAAATCCCACCACTGTCTATAAGTCACTTTTCCCAGTCCCATTGTAACTTTGAAGAGTCACTATACGAATGGGTGTAAGTTGAGGACTGCCTGTATTGGCAACTGAAATTGGGTCTGTAGAATTTCTTGAAAATGTTCCCATTGTTCTGAATTGATTCTCAAATGCAGTAATTATACTCCTGTTGTTATTTTTCAATGTGGAGAGAAGTTCTACTTTTATACATTGGTTTGATAGGATTTGATTTGTCGTGATGGTATTATTCCATTGCCCTTTTTATTAAGTTGCAATTTAAATGAAGATTTATCCGTGAAGTTTAAACCCTGAGCTTCACTGCCAAAGGATGTGGGAAAACCACTAATTTGATTTATCTTAATTTAAAAGAGAATTTAAGGGCATTTATAGAGTACCTGATTTATCAGTGACTGCTGGTGTAGAAAACAGGACTATTATGTCAATGGTTACTACTTATTGTATAGAGCTTGGTTTATTTTATTTTTTTAAAAAACTGATTTCCAGGAGATTTTTTTTCAACTTCTTAATCAGACCTGAAATTTTGAAATTCCCTGATCGTCTCCCATCCAACTACTAACCAAATTCAACCCTTCTTAGCTTTTTTCACATTACCACCTGCTGTATTTTTTTAAAAAAACTAACATTACTCAGATCAATAATTTGAAGAACAGGAATACGGATGGATTTGCATGGACATTTGCATATCAAAAGGAGGATAGTCCTTTAATATAAAACTTAGAATAGGCTGCATTCTTTGCTGATTTTTACACACGTATAAACATAGCCAAAAATAGGACAGAAAATAATAGGAGCCAATCTGGATGCAATTTGGACCGATTACTAGCAAGACGGGGGGGAAATGGAAAGAAGAGTTAAAATGTGCATGGTTGATTATGATTGATTATGTGCCATCGAATCGATGTTAACTTTTAGGGACCCCGTAGATTTTTTTTCCTTGACAATCTCTCCCTAACTTGGTCCTTCAGCTCTCTAATAGCAATAGCAATACCATTTAGACTTATATACCACTTCCTAGTGCTTTACAGCCCCTCTCTAAGTGGTTTACAGAGTCAGCATATTGCCCTCAACAATCTGGGTCCTCATCTTTACTGATCTTGGAAGGATGTCAGGATCGAACTTCTGGCTGTGGGCAGAGTTTGCCCGCAATATTGCATTCTAACCACTGCGCCACCACAGCTTCTTTGATGCATCCATCACCACTATTAATTACGTTCCATCCACTTTGTTGCTGGTTGTTCTCTTCTTCTCTTTCCTTCCATCTTTTCCTGCCTTACAGTCTTCTCCAGAGAGGTAATTTAATTTTGCCCCCATTTGGGGGGGGGGATGAGTCAAAAGAGACTCGTTTATGGGTAGCATCTGAATCCTAAGCATTATTTGGGAGATCGAAAAGGGCAGTCAACTCATGGTTTCAGTGGCTAACTTTTTTTTTACTTTTGCGTTGTTATATTTTATACAGGTAGTCAGTCCTCCATGTACAACTTACAGGAATAGTAACCGTTTGAGGTTACAATGGCACTGAAAAAAATGACTTATCATTTTTCACACTTATGACCCTTGCAGCATTCCCACAGTTATGTGATAAAAATTCAGACACTTGGCCACTGATTCATATTTACGTTGATTGCAGTGTCCCGGGCTCTGGTGATCCCCTTTTGTGACTTCTGACAGCAAAGTCAATGGGAAAGCCAGATTTACTTGACAAGCGTGTTACTGACCTAACAACTGAGTAATTCACTTAACAATCAAGGCAAAAAAGGTCGTAAAATGGGGCAAAACTCACTGAACAACTGCCTCACTGAGCAATAGAAATTATGGGCTCAATTGTAAGGTTGTTAAGTCAAGGACCATCTGTATGACAAATGACCAGGTCTTCATCGTTCTTTCAATCTTCTTTAGTTTCACATTTACAGCAAATACAATATCTATGAAGATGGCCAAGTAAGATAAGATAGATAAGCTTTATTGTCATTTTTTTTACTGGGCACAATGGCACACATCAAAAAATGAAATTGAGTTGCCTGCTCTCAAAGTGAAACACATACATGACACACATCTAAAACATACTATGATCTCAAGGCAGTGGTCTCCCTTCAACACATTTTTTTTCAAGGGGCTGGGTCATTGTCCTGAACAAAAATCTGATTGTCCTCTTCAAGACATCCCAGCAGTATTGGAGTTAAATACTTGGACCTCTCAGCAATTTGAGCAGAGTAGGGATTTTCAGACTGCTGCATCCCAGCTGCAGCCTGTTTCGTAATTGACAGAGCACAATATTGATTGTGGGCTTATTAAGACCACATGCACATTTTTGCACAGAGCAGGCTGTGCAAAACAAACCCAGGCTGATCTACCGAAGTCTTTCTCCGCCATCAATGTCCTTCATTTACGCCCAATTAGTTCTGTCTGTTTACATCTGGTTGTGAAGAAGCAGAAAACAGGGAATAGATGAGCTGGAATTTTGGCTTCCCTCTTTCTGTTTTTTACTAGGTACATTTTTATCGCCGTTCAAATTCTTTACTCTCTCTTTTTTTTCTTTTTTTTTGGCTGGTAGCTTTATATACTTCAAACTAAAGAGCTTAACACTTATTTTCCATTGCTGTGAGATTGCTATCTGACATCCCTCTAGTCATCTCGGTTTGTGACTTAGTCTCTGTTCTGTCACTGAATTTTGGTAAAGCTGATTCCTCATGAAAGCATCGTATGGCTAGAAAGAGAAAGTAAAGACAAAGATTTCCTTGTCCAGTCATGTCCAACTTGAGGACATGGTGCTCATTGGACTCAATGACCTCCAAGGTCCCTTCCAACTTTATTGTTGTTGTTGTTGTTGTTATTATTATTATTATTTCTTAGCCAATGGAGCCAGTGTTGTCTGAAGACTCTTTCCATGGTCCTATAGCCAGCATGGCTGTATGCCAAAGGTGCACAGAACACTGTTACCTTCCCACTGAAGTGGTACCTACTTGTGTTTGCATGCTTTAGAACTGCTGGATGGACCGGAGCTGGGAGCAAGAATGGAAGCTCACCCTGTTGCGTAGAACTCAAGTCTCAAACCTGGGCTGTCAACTCTCCAAGCTCATCATCTTTAACCACTGTGAGCAGAGACATAAATATATAGGTATCAATCAGAATAGAGCTGGAAGGGACCTTGGAGGTCTTCTAGTCCAACCCCTGCTCAGGCAGGAAACCCTATACCAGGGGTAGGCAACCTTGGCTCTTTTATGACTCGTGGACTTCAACTCCCAGCATTCCTGAGCCAGCATAGCTGGCTCAGGAATGCTGGGAGTTGAAGTC